CGAAGCCACGCGGCCAAATACCAACGTGGGACCCCCTAACCCCCAAACGGCTTCCGAAAATTCCCCCACAGACTCCACTTACATGGCGTACAAGTAAAGCCCCAACCCTTGAATGCGAACCCGGATCAACGCAAACCCTAAACCTCAAATCCTAGCCTCTCACATTCCCCCAACCTAACCCCCCAAAACCATCTCCAAGCAGCACTGAGATTCGTCACAGAAGAGGTGTCCCAAGAGCCAATGGGCTGGTTGAAGTCGGCGGCGCCAGCAAACATCCCTTGGCGTGTAGGGCTCCGGGAAATTGGCATCGCGGGCTCGTTTGCTGAGGGATGCTACTGGGTTTAGGGGCCTTGGTGATTAGAATAGGGTTTTGGGGGTTCCTCATTATAAGTATGGGTTTTAGGTTATGAGTATAGGGTTTAGGGGTTTTGGGTGAGGGGCCTTAGTAAGTAGAATAGGGTTTTGGGGGTTCCCTATTGTAAGTGTAGGGTTTAGGGGTTTAAGGTTTAAGGGCCCGAATAGCTACTGTGGATGATAGAAATCCTTAGCATTACTTATTAAGGACACTGAACAATGGGGAATTAGGGTAGATACTCCTTATTATGGGTAATGCAGGATTTATATCATCAACCGTATTTTCGGAGATAAGGTGTTGCGGCTGTAGGCTCTAGGAGCGAAGCTTTGCGGCCAATGCTTGGCTGCGAAGGCCTGGCAGTTCAAACTTAACTTATAAGTTTCACGCAGGAAGAAGCCGCAGCTAGTGTCCTGCAACATCAGGTCCAACAAAACCCTAAACCCTAAACCCTATGAACTCTTATGGCTCATGGCCCCCCTCAAACACCTGCACAACCCATGCTAGACAGTCTTCGAATCCGCACAAACCGTAGTCTACATGCGTGGACCCGCTATGCAGCAGCAAAGACTGCATTTCACCAGATGTGAGAACCATACGCTGCGAACTCAAGGCAAAATTCTGGAGCCACGACGGTCTAAACCCTGAGCCCTACGCCCCAACCCCTAAACCTAAAGGTCGAGACCCGTCACTTCCCACAACGAAGCCTGAACTAAACTCCCTAGAGACCCCTCCCAGCAACCCTACAACGCATTAAGAGCTGCAGTCCCAGCTGATATGGGGCCTTCATATTCATTGCACGGTTTTGGTGTGTGTGTGTATATACGTATACACATGTGTATGTGTATATATATATATATATTGATTGATTGATTGATTGATTGATTGAATGATTGAATGAATGATTGATTGAGGATGATTGATTGATTGATTGATTGTACTATGTTATACATGTGTATATATATATAGAGAGAGAGAGACTTATATTTGATTTATTTGTTTATAGCTTATAACTTATTCTACATATATATATATATACACATTTACCAACACGCTCATACATACATACATACATACATACATACATACATACATACATACATACATACACACGTGAAGCCGGGCAGCTGCTCATGTCGGTCACGGAGGCCGTGTTCCAGCTGTCGAGAGGCTGATTGAAGGACCAGGCGTGGAAAAACATGCCGCTCATGTTCCTGACGGCTGCCTGGGCTTAGGGTCTAGGGTTTATATGAGCCGCTCATTTTCCTGACCGGTGCCTGGCCTTTGTTCGTGCACTGTTTGGTGTGACACTGAAACCTAAAACCGCAAACTTATAGTGCACTTCCGCATTGGTTTTTGGGTGGGGCAAAGGTTACCCAGATCTTCCAACATGCGCGGGTATGCTCCTTCATTAAGGAATATTGGGAGATCTGGGTATTCCGAACTCCAAACCTCAAGGCAAAGCCCTGAAAACGCAAAACCTGAAGCCCCGAAGCACTGGAACGCAGAAGAATACCCTTACCCTAACCCCTCAGGTACCTTCCTATATATCGGGTACTAGAGCCCCTAGGGCCCTATATAGTAGGTACCTGGGGGGTTTAGGTTAAGTCAGCTGAGCGTCCGTGTCCCAGGCAGACAGCGGTTGGTCAAAGGCCGGCGCTCCGGCAAACCTCGGGTTCTAGGGTTCTCAAATTGGCCGACTTGTTTCCGGTGTAGGGTTTAGGGTTTTAGGTTTTGGGGGTTTAGGGTTTAGCGGTTTAGGGGTTTAAGGTTTAGGGTTTGGGGGCTTAAGGTTTAGGGTTTAGGGATTAAGGGTTTAAGGTTTAGGGTTTTAGGGTTAAGGGCTTAAGGTTTAGGGTTTTAGGGTTAACGGTTTAGGGTTTTGGGGTTAAGGGTTTAAGGTTTAGGGTTTAGAGGTTAAGGGTTTAAGGTTTAGGGTTTAGCGGTTAAGGGTTAAGGGTTTAAGGTTTAGGGTTTTAGGGGTTAAGGGTTGAAGGTTTAGGGTTTAGGGTCTTGGGGTTTAGGGTTTAGTCAGCAGAAATTGTCACAAGACGTCAGCAGAAATTCTAGGGTTTAGATACCAAGCTGAGTGGATGAAGCCATCCCACACTTTTGTTACAATTCGCCGAAGCCGCCGCAACGCGTCTAGGAAACATCTATATCAGATATGCGAACTCTGAAGAGTCTGCCAAGTAGTATTCTCCCAAATAGCTCCCATAAGTACTGCAGAGTAATGGCAGGGGGGCTGTGTCAACTAAACATTTGTATTTCTCCACAAAAATGCACCACAACGACTCACCATTTCCTTGAATGCCGCCTGGGAGCATAAAGCTCATGTCGGTCACAGAGGATGTATTCCACGCAGACAGAGGATGATTGAAGCGATCCGCGAAGGAAAACATGGATCCTTAGGCACCACAGGCCAAAGGGCCCCACCCTCAACCCTAAAGATTTCCAAGGCTCTGTTAGATTGAAGACCCTGAGCGGGTCACCTTGGGCGCCCGCAGGCCGCCCAAGCGGGGTTCCCTCACTTGTGCCCACGCGGGGCGGGAGGACCCTATAAATCCTGAACCCTTACGCCCAAAAAGAAAGGCAGGAGGCTCGACTTCCCCTTTTTTGGGCGGGTTCAGGTAGTAACGAAGATCCAACATGTAGTGCAACTTACCCATAGGCTCCTTAGTAGTTCCTTTTTGGGATTACCTTCCAGGATCCTAAATATGACCTACAACAAGGAACTACTTAGGAGCCTATAGGTCAGAGCTTGTCGGCAATTCTGCCTTTACCAAAACCGACCTGCCCAGTTCCCCTTCTTCAGTGTTTTCCCCTTCTCCAGTAGCTTCCCATCCCCGTAAAACCATGCTCTAGCAACCCAGTATTTCTAGCGGCTTCCTATCCCAGTACACCTATATCCGGGTAACCAAGTACAGAACCAACAGCGCTCCTATTCTAAAAAATCCGAAACCCTAAGCCCTAAATACTAAAGCCCAAAATCCAAAACTCAAAGCCCCAACGCCAAACCCTAAGCCCCTAAATCCGAAACCCAAACCCCCAATTCCTCAACCCTAAACCCCTAAATCCTGAACCGAAGTCCCCAAACCCTTGAAACCCCAAAGCCCTGAGCCCAAACCTGAACTGCACGTCACCAGGAAAAGGGCCAAGTCTCGCATATCCACCGCTGCCGCGGTATTCCAGGAGTCGACCGGCTGGTCGAAGGTCCAAGCCTTCCAAGGGGGTTTGGGATTGGGGTTTATAGGGTTTAGGTTGTTAAATAGAGTTTAGGGTCTTAATAGTTTAGGGTTTAGGCTTTATAGGGTTTAGGTTGTTAAATAGAGTTTAGGGTTTTAATAGAGTTAGGGGTTTAGGCTTTATAGGGTTTAGGTTTTAAATAGAGTTTAGGGTTTAGGGTTTACGGGCCTACCGTGGGTGAAGGCTTACAGGGTTGAGGCTTTGAGAATTTCTGAGGCTTTCCGATGGGCCTTGGGTCTTATAGGATACTGTCGGCACCAGGGTTTACCTGTAGCCGACAAAACCTACCTTTTCGGGGCTCCGTATTATTATATGGTTTCCAGATATACATAGAAAGTCACAGGGGCCGAGTACCTTAGCCCAAAACAGGTTAAGCTTTTGAATTAGAATAGGTTTATATATANNAAGGTTACCTACTTAGCCCCTAAGTAGTTCCTAAAAAGGTAGGTCTTCGGGGCACAGGTAGGATTTCAGGGTTTTCGGATCTTCGGGGTTAAGGGCTTCAGCGTGGGGGGGGGGGGGGGGGGGNNGCCGACTCGAGTTGTGTTAGACACGGATCGAGTTCAAGTCCGTGGGCTGCGATCATGGACGTTTTGAGAGTATGGTGTAGAGTTAAAAAATAAACACGAAGCGGTTTAGGAGTACCTGGACCCTTAAATGTCGTACATTTTTGGATGATTTTTTTATGGCTAGGATCCAATAATCCATCAGAAACTAAGACAAGCCAAACAAGGTACTTGAGGGTTTACGGCTGGTTGGGGGAGGTTGGAGGGCGGAGGCCCCGTGCGGGATAGCTTGATCCGAGCGTGCTAGCATGCTGAAGCGTTTCAGGTTTAAGGCTTATAGGAGCTATCTTTAATCCATGACCAAATGGCCCCTAAAAGGTAGGGTCCCGGCATCGCCTTGACCTATGCATCCCTATGTGGTGGTCCCCGCCCTCTTGGACAAGCTTCCATGCAGTGCCCAGCTAACGTGGAAGAAGACGAAGAAGCAATAAAGAGCCCTGACCCCGAAACTCGACAGCCCTCTAAACCCTACGTGCAGTCTCCACTGTAGTTCCTTTTT